GGGGTGTGGCCATTTTCTGATATGGACCAAAACCCGTCATGCGACACCTCAAACCACATGAGAATTCAAAAACAAGTGCAATGGTGGATATCAAGTGCCCTGGACCACATTGAACACATGTTCCGGGTACCCTAGGAAAAGGGCCCAGACAACCAAAATGCACGTAAGTTCAAAGTTGTTTCTATGATATGAAAGTTGACGAAGAGAATCTGTCAATGTTACTTAGGACCTAATGCAATGTTCAGCTTGATATACACATATATACAAACAATTAAATCTTATAGAATGCAAAAAATGGTCTATACGTACCAAAGTAAAGGCCATAAACGTGCACGTTTTATTTTATTTTTAAACGAGTTGATTTACCGTAAAACGAGGTATCTTTGATAATGTGGGTATCTTTGATAGTATAATATAAAGATTACATTTACTCTCTGCGCTTTTTCCAAATTAGAAACATTGGCTGCATATTGTAGCTTAGGATATTTCCGTTGATATTGTATATTGTTTTTAAAAAGTATTTGTTACATATTTGACACGGAGGCGAACCAGCCTAAGGCTGAAAGCCTCCTAAATAAAGCTAAATTAATTAATTAATTACATATTTTACAAACATATTAAAAAACTATTTTCGTGTTTTTCGCCTGTTTGAAAAAGCACTCAAACCATCACTTATGAAATGTATTTCCGATATAGCCATCACAAATTTAATGTGGTATTCTTATTGCTCATGAAGTTTTCTGATAATATACTCATTTAAAATTTCATATTTAAAGAACTAAATTGTTTGAGTTTCACTCATTTTTTTTTTCTACATTCATCGAGCACTATCAAAGTAACCCCAAATCAAAATACTGAAGTTAGGTCACAAAACTAAACAAATAGTACAAATGCTTTAATTTTCGTTCAACATATTACTAACGAATTAATTCTTGGACCCTCAGTACTTGTTTTAAAAATATAGAATTTGAAAAACATTCATTGCTGTAAAAATATTTAGAGTAGACTTTAAGAAACTATCAATGCTACCCCGTTTTACGGTATTAACAAATTTAGTTTGGAATGTTTTACGATGTAAAAATGATTCATCGGAAATAAGTCTGAAATTTTCATTCAATGCGATTTATCCATATTGATCAGCATACATCGTGACTCATAAGACGGTAAGCGTAAACTCGTCCAGCCTAACTTTCTTAGAGCATAATAGAAACTGTTTTTTTAGCGGCGTCGGTGGTGTAGTGGTAAGCGTGATTAGCTCTCACCCCAGCAGGCCTGGGTTCAGTCCCATTCGGCGCCGCCGCACAGTGTTCTAGAACTGTGAAAAGACGGTCAAAAGTCATTATCTTATGAATCTTGCATTTTAGACTAGTGCTGTCTTGAGGAAAGTTTCTGGATATAGAAAGGCCCTTCTTTTGACATTGATAAATCAATGATTAATCCTCCTAGAAGTGAGATTCAAAATTTATTTTTCCAAAAATTCCATATTCCGGTTTGGTGTCTACGGCAAAGTTTTAGAAAATATCAAATCAAGAAAGTTTGCTGAAGACACTAGGTGGCTATTTCTTCATCTCATTTAAATATGGAACGTTTTTGATTTGTCAATGTCAGAAACTTTCCTGAAGACACCATTATTCTAAAATGCAAGATTCATGAGATAATGACTATTGACCGTCTTTTCACAGTTCTAGACCACGTGTGCCGGTATGTTCTGAGGCATAACATCTCTGATCACGCCTTCCTTCGGAAAGGAAGTAAAGCCGTTGGTCCCCAGTTCATGAGTTGATGGGTCGATAGGTAGGGTCCAGGTGTGGGAAAAAAACTTTTATGCTCCCGCTCGTTCCTTAAGAAACAGAAATATGTTTAATATTAACAATCAAAGAACAAACCATGCTAGGAACGTGCGTTGCACATTTATGTGTAAACCCAGCAAACGTCAATAGAAGTGTATTTTTACACATTTTTCAAGAACGGTTTTTACAGCAAAATGTGTAAAAAGTAATCATTTCTAGAATTTAAATATAATGGGTACGCATGGTATTTTATTAACTTCGGAATTTGCTTATTTGTATCAATGATAAAATAAAGATTGCTCGAATACAATAATATTTTATTAAAAAAGAAATGCCATCAACAAAAATAAGTAGTGGCACCGGTGGTGTAGTGGTAAGCGTGATTATCTCTCACCCCAGCAGGCCTGGCTTCAATCCCAGTCAACGCTGCCGGGATGTTCTGAGGCATAACATCTCTGATCGCGCCGAGGATCACGCCTTCCTTCGGAAGGGAAGTGAAGCCATTGGTCCCCGGTTCATGAGTTGATGGGTCGATATGTAGGGTCCAGGTATATATGCTGCCTCCCTGGCGTCGGTAGCATTGGTGCTCAGCACGGAAAACAAATCAAGGGAAGAAAAACAAAAATCAGTATATGAAGCAAGCAAGCGAGACACCGGACATTGATTAAGATTTTTTTTCTAGAATTAAACTAAAACTAAAAGCTATGAAAAAGCATAAATAACCTACCCTCTAGCATGTCCATCGTTGCACATTGTCCAGTTTGGACCGAGGTTTGGACCGTAGTACCTCTATTTTCCTGCTGTTCCTCACTGAAAATTTAGCACATGGCGTGCGTCAACAAAGCAGGATGCAGCAAAGTTTGAAGTTTTTTATACCCATTAATGAGTATAAAAATACACATTTTTTGACTGGTACTGCATTCCTAAAATGTGTGTTTTTTCACACATTTTAGGATCTCCAAATTTACACATTTTTTGACAGCTGCATATAAATATAAAAAATGTTTATTTTTTTACTCATTTATGCACTGAAATTTTTTATTCGTAATTTGTCTTTTGCTCATTTCGTAAAAACGGGTTTCGTAGATAAAACAATTATTTCGTTAGATCTGCGAAACATTCCTATTGCATGTCATCAGATAAAATTTCAACATTACACTTAATTCGTAGAATACACGAACTGAATTTCGTACGGATATTAAAACTACCTTTTGGTCGTCAGTGCAAATCAGTTTATAGCATACGATTTAGTTCCTGGGCAGCTAGAAGAACTCGATCATCATCATGAGACAGCTAAATATTAAAAACGGTAAGTACATTAATGTGTTGTGATGTGATGTGTTGATGATACTAATAATCCAATTGATAATTTGCAGGATGTGGTTCCCGTATGGAATCCGGTTTGCAGCTAATCCAGTTGTATTTTATTTTAAATTCCTTCATCGCAGGATTAAACTGTGTGCATCGATGTTTGTGCTGCCCACGTTGGATGGATGCAAGTTACGAAACGAAATTACCCAATGGATTTGTTCCTAATAAATCAGCGTTAGCGGAAATCCAGCGACAAAACAACCCACGGAATTAAAGACGTGCTGAGTGATGATGCCCCGAATATGAATTAAAAATGGTTGTACAATGCGTATCAGCGGGTTTGCTTGCGCTGAGTGATATTTAGTGCGACAAATAAAGAAGTAAAATTGTAATGATTGTTTGTTTTTTGTATATTTGATGATGATTGTTTGTTCCACCAGTACTCTGCTGTTGTCCTCCCAGGTGACCATATTCATATTATTGTTGTTTCTGCTGGCACTGATTGTTGGGCAGATGCGAATGTACTAGCTTTTTCGTACATACAACAATTGCTAGAAAGTCACTCTTACTTTTCAACGAAACTTTCGTAAGTGTGTATTATTTATCGTACAATGTATGAATGCTGTTTTATAGGTTTACTAATTATTCGTACTTTTCTTCGTCATTGGCATTTTTACATACGAATAATTCGTAGCGATTCGTAAAATGCAAGAATGCTACGAAATCAATTAGGTTGGTACATTAAACGAATCTCGCTTCATACATAGTACGAATATATTTCGTTGCAGATAGCAACGAATGAATTCGTGGCACAAACGAACGTTTTCGTAGTATAAACGAAATTTTATTTTCAGTGTGTGTTTACGCTGGTTACCGTGAAAAGGGCACAGCCCATTAAGGACACATGAAATCAATACGTAAGATGCGTCAGGTCTCAGATATGTGGATAAATTAAGATTTTTTTATGTTAGAATTACAATCAGATATAGGATCTTTGCGCCTATTTGAGCAAATCTTAAAAAAACTGTAATAGGCTCATTCATATTCGTTAATTAAGCTGAATTTATTAAATTCGTTTCATATTTTTATTTGAAATAAAATAGTATTACAAATCCTTTTATATTAAGCCTATATTAATCCAAAATTCTACATTTTAAACATATAGAGCCTCAAGTCACTACATAAGCCGAGGTATTCAATATTGATGTAATTGAAGAAGCAATAACGTTTTTTACTGCGTAACCCTAATAAATTTTTTATGGTTATTTTGCTTAACGACGTGTTTGGGGTATCATCAAAACCATTTGTGGAAAAGTTTAACTATTTGCGTTTTTGTTCGTTTATGGTATTTGTTTATTAGGGAGCTCAATTCTGTTTCTTATTTTTTTTATGTCCTCATTTAGGATAAGAAGAGAAATTTCAATACCAATATTTTTTCTAATTTTTATTAAACAAGTTGCACTTAATTTTGTTGACAACTATTTGAGATCACACGATCTTTTTGATACTAAATATTAGGATAGAATGGCAATTATAAATAAGCATTGCAGGTATACGTTGATTAGTGTGAGTTGGTCGATTTATTTTTAAACATTTTGCTTCATTCCGTATACAATTTTGAGAATTCGTAGTTTTGATTTTTTTAAACTAGAAGTTCGTATGTTAAGAATGGGCTCGACAAAGGTATAGTTTATTAACACATGGGAAATTATTAATTTTGAAGCGGTGTGCGGAATTAGGTATAAAAGTTTTCGACATTCATGAGACAAATGTGATTAGTGGATTTCTTTTTTGTTTGTTTATTTTTTAATAGTATATATTAGTTCATTAAAAATCACTCACTTGCAACTGTCGAGTTGTCAGTTCTATATTCTATACTAGAAATCATTGTCATGGATCTTACTGGCATCGACGCAGCCAAAAGTAGAAAATCTCTACAATGCTCAGCAACGATACACCGAAGAATAATCCTCCTACGCCACCTAGGGAAACTGGAATAAAGTTTTGGTTTGTTGAGGCCCAAACGCAATGTGGGCGGAAGCGGGACTGAAACGGACAGTTTGACAGTTGTTACAAATTACATCAAGATGCCTAACCGAAGTAGATTCGGTTCTAACTAGTTTTTAATCCGACTTTTCGATCGGGCTTTTCCGCTGCCGCTACGTTCCGCTTCCGCTGTCATTGCGGTTGGGCCTTTAGCTGAATCTCGGCATGTTTTTCATTCAGATCCAGCAGCATAGAGTTTGCTGAAGTTTATCGTACGCACACTACGTCACGTAAACGTATACGCAAAATGTTTTCATCAGGAAAAAAAACTTCAAAGTGGAAAATTTTACTGATGAAAACGAATCAATCACACGAGCAATCACACTTTAGTAATCTCTATAAAATGTTGAACTAGTCGGCGGAGCCAATCTCGACAGTAAAAATTAATAGCGAATTCGTTTATATCGGGGTTGGAACCAGTTCCAACCTAGTGCGAAACCGAACTTTTTGTCAGTGCGAACCTCAACCTAAGCTGGGTTGTAAAAACAAACGATCAAACTGACGTTTGTCAGAAAACAAGCAGGCCCAATCTTGATACCCGATCCAGGTTGGAACTGAATAATAAACGAATTCGCTATAAGTGTAGGTGTAGGTGCGGGGTCTAAACATGTACGATACCATCCATATAGTACGTTCGAACTACAGCTGATAACAGCTATCTTTATATCAAAATTTATACATATTATTTCCGGTTAAAATTTGCCGTGTGAGCGCTGATTGCAAGACAGCCTATATTACGTGATATCAGCTATAATCTGAGCGTACTCTTATACTATGAACGTAATATGTCCTGCAATGAGCACTGATACTTTATATTTTCTATGGAAATCATTTTGATATCAAGATAACCCGAGGGGTGCGACACATCTAAATCTCAATTTTAGATACTCAAAAAATCTCACACTAGCAAATCAATCTTCGAAAAATCTTCTTGCATTTCTCGCATCTACTTGCATCGCGCATCATCTTTTTGCAGGAAATCTTCAGAATCGTCATCAATCTTCTTTCTATCTACGCAGCGTGCGAGCAGCTAGCCACAACACAACACAATCTTTCCTGCAGCGTAGATAGAGTCGTCCCCCTCGAGATAACCTATTGACCAATGCACGGAATGAACTCACGAAAAAAATTGACTTTTGAGCGGTGCCGTGTTTACTAAAAATGAACACATGATGTAATGTTCGCGTAACTTTAGAAAAGGTCCTATCAACTTTTATAAACAACTTGTTAGTTGTTAGGCCCTTTTCTCACGAGCCGAAGAACACCCACGCAAACCAAACCACTATCGGAAAGGGGAGAATTCACCCTACCCGATGGTGTTGTTGGTTTACATGGGCTTACTTTGGTTCGCGCGAAAAATGTCTAACAAGTTTTGTGTACATAAGTTGATAGGCCATTTTTAAATGTTACGCGAGTATTATTCATGTGTTCATTTTTAGTAAACACGGCGCCGCTCAAACGTCAAATTTGTTCATGCAGTTCATTCCGTGCATTGGTCAATAGCGTCAATAGTCCATTTTATGTGCAAGCGTATTGATGGCGCGAAAGTGAGGATAACAATAACAAACCATATTTTTGGCTGGAGCGAAAGTGAGGATAACACACCTCGCACTTTAAAATAGTAGTATTACGCAAGTGTGCGTGTTATAAACGTCAGAAAGATCAATATTACGTCATATCAGTTATAGTCGGAACGTATCTGTACGGCCATCTGATATTGCGTTATATATATACAGGGTGTTTGGTTCCGGGTTTTACATATTTTTAGGGTAGATAGGGCTCCTAAAGTTATGAAAAAATCCCCATGAAACATAGGGTCGGAAATGACTGCTAAGTGAGTTATTCAACATTTTATGTTTTTTTGTATTGCCAACTTTGGTTAGCTATATTTTTTTAATCTTAATGTAGTTTTCTGATTTCAACATACCAAATGAAAGATTAAAGTCTTTGCTATCAATGCTCTTTGAAAAAGAACTCGATTAAAGTTAATTATCATACATTAAAATTGAAAAGTATGTTGAAAGTACCAAAAAAACTGGTGAAATTTCATACATTTTAGTGTTTTTAAGTTGAAAATTTTCATTTCTGTTTATTTAGTTGTTCTACAAAACATTTTCCATGCAGTTCCCTAAACCGAGTCAGTAATCCAAAAATCCAGTAAAAATACTAACTCCTGTAAAAAAAATCTAAGTGTGTATACAGATGCAGCGGAGTTGCATACTCCTCCTTCGAATCAGCACCGCAGCTGAGCTGCGACTTGCGAGTGCTATGAAATAAAAAGGACATCGACTTATTACCACTACCTACTTCTCTCCCTTCCGCTCTCAGAATTCGCCGATTCGGTGTCTCTTGTTGTGTTTTCTGCTGAGACTGAGCAATATTCGATATCGCGAAACATCTCCGCAGTTATCTTTTCTTTCGGCGCAGGAGATGTGCGGTAATCAAAAGTTAAGAATGTAGCTAAACATTTACAATAACATTCTACCAAATTTTCATGTGCGTAGTCCACTGCAACAGCCGAACGTACGAACGAATAGGGTGACTATAGCGCATTTTATGAAAACGTCACAAGTTTTTATGGCTGTTTTAAATCAATAATTACGAAGAAACCATAAAGCCTACAAGGTTACTACCAAAGACACAAATCTAGGGAACTGCATGGAGAATGTTTTGTAGAACAACTAAATAAACAGAAATGAAAATTTTCAACTTAAAAACACTAAAATGTATGAAATTTCAGCAGTTTTTTCGGTACTTTCAACATACTTTTCAATTTTAATGTATGATAATTAACTTTAATCGAGTTCTTTTCTAGACAGCATTGATAGCTAAGACTTTAATCTTTCATTTGGTATGTTGAAATCAGAAAACCACATTAAGATTTAAAAAATATAGCTAACCAAATTTGGCAAAACAAAAAAACATAAAATGTTGAATAACTCACTTAGCAGTCATTTCCGACCCTATGTTTCATGGGGATTTTTTCATAACTTTAGGAGCCCTATCTACCCTGAAAATATGTAAAACCCGGAACCAAACACCCTGTATTTGGGCATTATTAATCGTAATTAATGTTGTTTTTTCAAAGTTGAGAAATGTTGAAGTAATGAAATTGGGTTGTTAGCGGAATGCTAAATAAAACAGCAAAAAAGGTTATCTTCCATTTAATTCCACTTAATTAATTTTGGTATCCATGACAGATACGTATTTCGACTACAATGAGCAGTCTTCATCAGTGTCATTCCCACTAAAGAACTTATCAAAATCTAACCCCCTTAAGTACTCATCCCCTAGGTAAAAAAAAGTCAAGATCATAGGCATAAAAATGAAACTACAATGTGTTGAAGTGGAGTTTCATTTTTATACCTATGATCTTGACTTTTTTTTACCTAGGGGATGAGTACTTAAGGGGGTTAGATTTTGATAAGTTCTTTAGTGGGAATGACACTGATGAAGACTGCACATTGTAGTCGAAATACGTATCTGTCATGGATACCAAATATAAAATAAGTGGAATTAAATGGAAGATAACCTTTTTTTGCTGTTTTATTGAGAAATGTGTTACCAAATTTTACAGACTAACATCTGTTAACCCCTTGTAATGATGAAAAATTAAAAAAATCTATTTTATCCAATCTTTACGAATAACAGTCATTTGGATTTTAACCGAGTCAGTAATCCAAAAATCCAGTAAAAATACTAACTCCTGTAAAAAAATCTAAGTGTGTATACAGAAGCAGCGGAGCTCCATACTCCTCCATCGAAACAGCACCGCAGCTGAGCTGCGAGTGCTATGAAATAAAAAGGACATCGACTTATTACCACTAACTACTTCTCTCCCTTCCGCTCTCAGAATTCGCCAATTCGGTGTCTCTCGTTGTGCTTTCTGCTGAGACTGAGCAATATTCGATACCGCGAAACATCTCCGCAGTTATGTTTTCTTTCGGCGCAAGAGATGTGCGGTAATCAAAAGTTAAGAATGTAGCTAAACATCTACAATAACATTCTACCAAATTTTCATGTGCGTAGTCCACTGCAACAGCCGAACGTACGAATGAATAGGGTGACTATAGCGCATTTTAAGAAAACGTCACAAGTTTTTATGGCTGTTTTAAATCAATAATTACGAAGAAACCATAAAGCCTACAAGGTTACTACCAAAGACACAAATCTAGGGAACTGCATGGAGAATGTTTTGTAGAACAACTAAATAAACAGAAATGAAAATTTTCAACTTAAAAACACTAAAATGTATGAAATTTCAGCAGTTTTTTCGGTACTTTCAACATACTTTTCAATTTTAATGTATGATAATTAACTTTAATCGAGTTCTTTTCTAGACAGCATTGATAGCTAAGACTTTAATCTTTCATTTAGTATGTTGAAATCAGAAAACCACATTAAGATTTAAAAAATATAGCTAACCAAAGTTGGCAAAACAAAAAAACATAAAATGTTGAATAACTCACTTAGCAGTCATTTCCGACCCTATGTTTCATGGGGATTTTTTCATAACTTTAGGAGCCTTATCTACCCTGAAAATATGTAAAACCCGGAACCAAACACCCTGTATAAAGCAATGAATTTTTGAACCTGAAAACTCATCGGTGATTTTTGTGCAGCTGATTTTTGCAAGACAAAATTCATAGCATGAGATTTGAGATTTTCCGATAATTGGTTTGTAGTATTTCTGTATTGGTGCTGTACAGAATAAGATCCATGATTACGTTTGCACACATTTTTTACCGAAAAGGGTGGTATAGTTTAGGTTAATGCCGTGTCACGAGATTCGTACCAATTCAGTTTCAATATTTACCTATGAAATCTAGATTGGTACGCGAAACAGATCTTTCATATCTGCTTGTTGGTATGTTCATTATCTCCAATAGCACGTGACCAGGGGCATTTGGATCCTCCGTATTGAATGTGTTTTCCCTTTTATGTGAAATATTAAAATATTTAATTTAAGGATTTGTATTGATACTTTGAACCTTACCCTAACACGTTTATTTCCATTTCTAAGCATGATTGTATACAAGGCTGGTTACCATCAAAAAGGGTTTCTTTAGCTCCTGTCAGTATGTTGGCTACGGAATAAAAGAATAAAACAAAAACCAGACAGTCTTTTAATCTGGACATTTCATATTTACTTAATTATTACATCCACTGGGTAACATAATAATTACGTTTTTTTCCTCTGTTCGGGACATCAAACCACTGCGACCAGTATTTCGATCTATTGTAGTGTATCCCGTGTCCTTAGTTTAGTGCATGTTGTATTACTCCATCACTATTGAGAAATGATGAAGTATTCGGTTTTGATACAGTTGTCATTCTTGCCTTCATCGCAAGGAATCGATTCTAATTGAAAGGTCCCGCTATTTATTCCATTCGAAAAGTGAGAGTACCCTCCACAGGCGCGTCCCTTTGTTAGTCAAAATTGGATTCCTTAACAACAAAATTAAGCAATGCATAATGACCATGCATCAGAACCCTAGTCTTAACCACTTCAAACTAGGGAACAAAAAATAGAAGATTGGGAATCACATAGATGAAGACTAACGAATTCATTTTTTTCTTGTTTCAAGATCATCTTGTATATAAGGACAAGGTTGATAGAATAAAAAAATTTGACGATTTCATGGCTGATTTGCCTTGTAAAATCAGCCATGATTTACAAAGCAAATGAGCCATAATAACGACAATTTCATTCATTCTATCAATCTTGTCCTTAACCACATGGTTATTTAGCCAACCGGTGTTAAGATCATTAATTGAAACATAAATAATTTGAAATTTGCCAACAATAGTTTGTTGGGTAAAAAATTCAACATTCACATTTTTGCAGTTTTAAAACACCGAAAAACCTTCTGGCAATGGCAGGATTGTCAATGACGTTAATGGCGTTAACGTCATTAACCCTACTTTTAAGCACAGAACAATCATTGCATATATGTACAACAGTAAGTATGCGGGGCTTGAAAATATATTGCAATTACCGTGCAAGCATCATAAGTTGAACAGTGCCAAATTATATACAGTTCCATGTTTTCCATGATCAATTTGATCCCGATGTAAGTTATCATTTGTCAGTGTGCCAATACTTAGATCAACCTTTTTATACTTACCTCTGGAAATACATCCTAGACCCGTAAAGTTACAGTACTTGGGTTTAACTACAACCGTTGCAAAATGTGAAGTATTAATAAAAGTGATGTTATTATTGTTATACTATGTTTCTATGTAAATCTTCTGTAGTGCTTACACTCGTTCGGTGAAGTAGGAATTGTGCAGTTACATTGAGCAAGCTCCATTTGGATTCTTTTATAAAGAAAACAATTTGTGAAACTGTATGGAAGGTTTACAGTAATGTTTTCATATGGAAAACGACACTCTCTTTGCCCAATTGTTTCGGCTTTAACATCTGGATGGTTGTAGACTTCAATCGTCTAGAAAAGTATAAGGATATGGGATAATAAAATGTTGTCAACATGATTCAAAGCGGCACTGGTGGTGTAGTGGTAAGTGTGATTGCTTCTCACCCCAAAGGGCCTGGGTTCAATCCCAGTCGGCACCGCCGGGATTTTCTGAGGCATAAAATCTCTGACCACGTCGAAGGGAAGTAAAGCCGTTGATCCCCGGTCTATGAGTTGACGGGTCGATAGGTAGGGCCCAGGTGTAGGAACTGCCTCCCTGGCGTGGGTATCCCGAGCAGGAACGAATATCTCAATACCTTAAATTGGTATGGATGAGCCTGACATAAGAGGTAAAATACCACAAAATAATACCATAAAAATGTTTCCACAATACCATTCCAATACCAAATTATGCCACACAGGTGTTATTTTGGTAGGGTAAATGTTGGCTTCGGCACCCATTGACTGTTTTCGGCAACCAAAATTTAAACGTTAATTTCACTATGTTTTCCCATTAACGCACTTCCCTGAATGTGTCCAAACGATTGTTTAGCCTTTCAGCTTCAATCTGATTATATTTGAACGATCGAGCAATCCAGTAATGCTACATTTTTCTTCAAATAAAGCATACGCACTACAAAATGGGGTTGATTTCGAGTTGCCGATAATAGAACAGCTGGTTAACACGCAGTTCTAATGGGAAGGTTGCCGAAGAAAAAGAGGCTGCCGACAATAGTCACACTCACCTGAGAAGTTTGGAGCGTTGTAAAAACGCTTTCAAAACGTTTTGAAAAATTCAGTCGATTGGAATGGATAGAAAAGCAAGCAGCAGATGAATGTAAACAAACAGACACATCATATATGTGCGTGACGCTGAGAAAATGCTAGTAGAAGTGCAGACGCTGCTTAGATTGACGAAAATACGTAAATTCCCCTATTCAAATATCAATTTTTGTTATTTACAAAGTATTTTGCATGTAATTGTTTGGTATTATTCTTTGGTGTTTTACCTCTTATGTCATACTGGTCAATACCAAATTTTGGTATGAGGTAGCGTTGGTACTCAATACGAAAAACAAAATGACGGAAAACAAATCATGGAAAAAATAGGGTAGAGAACTACTTCGGCCTAATCGCCCATTTTGGGCCTATCGAGCAGAAAACTTCAAATAAATCCATGATTTTAGAGTTAACAAGTCAATTATGCGTTTGGTACGATGCTTTAGTTAATAAGCTACCGAACGAAGCCAATTAGAACGCGTGATATAAAGGTTTGCACCCACTATTCTCAAAAACAAAAGAAGCGCTCCGACCGAATGAGTTTTTACCTTCATCCGATAGGCCGAAGTTAATTCAATGGCGTTTCAATGGCGTTTCAATGCGTTAGGCCGAGTTTAGAATCCGTAGGCCGAGTTTGGCGTCAAGAATTAGTGTTAGACTTTTGACAATATATCAACGATTGGTGTCTCTTTATCAAATCTTACGGTACGTACGTAAAGGTAAATAAATTTGGAAGTCATCAGTAATAATAACATTCCGTTTGGTGCTAGACTGCGCTAGATTAAGAAAGACTAAGTGCGGGTTGTGCTTAATAGGCCGGAAACGGGGTAGTTAACCCTACATGGTTTAAATCATGCAAACTTATCACAAGAAATTAAAGTTGTATGCGTTTTACCAAAACACTATGCTTAACTGTTTGTGCACCAAACCAAAATTAGATTTTTACTACTTCGTCGGTAATTTTTAACGGATTGCTTATGTTTTTATATTGTTGGAAAATTCCACTTTTTAATATTTAATTGGTCATGTCATATGGTACCAACCGTTTGTTAATTAACTTAATGGATTTCTGTTTTTTTTTCTCGGTAGACAAGCCGTGTTAGCACGTTAAAACTGTTTGATTTCTTCTTACATATTTTTCCTGAAACCCTATAAAAAATATATAGTAGAATGCTACACAGTCGAATTTTTAAACGCATGAAAAGGTACTTTTTTCCTTGATTTGTTTTCCATCGATTTTGTTATCCGTGCTGAGCACCAATGCCACCGACGCCAGGGAGCCAGCTCCCACACCTAGACCCTACCTATCGACCCATCAACTCATGAACCGGGGACCAACGGCTTTACTTCCCGGCGTGATTAGAGATGTTATGCCTCAGAACATCCCGGCGGCACCGACTGCGATTGAAACCAGGCCTGCTGGGTCGAGGGGTAATCACGCTTACCACTACACCACCGGCACCGCTGAAAAGATACTGTCCTCTGGAAAAATATTGATAAAAAATTATCCGGTTTTCTAAATAAATTTAAGCACAAAAACATGTTCTGTACGTCATCATGGCATAAAGTTGGACTCAAAAACAACAAAACATCGACCTTTCGGTTTTGCTGAGGATCCATTTTTTTCATGATGAGATAGAGTTTTTTTTCGCAGTAATTTAAAAAGACCGGATTTTCTAGGATTTTTGATATTTTTACCCAAAAATTTTAGAAAAATAAAAACGAGCATAAAAAAAATTTTTTTTGGGCGTTTAAATTCCTTTTAAGTAATTTTGTAATCGAAAAAATGAATATCGGCTCAGCAAAGCTTCGGAAAATGAGCCTGAAAAAATAAACGTATTATATAAAAAAAACTTCCTCTTATGGATCACTACATGAAGCAAACTTATTCATAAAATAATGATTACGTTTAAACTGTAGTGCATGAAAGCTCCATACTTCCGAAGTCTAAAGGGGGGCATCAAAGAGTATGGGAGTTCTTCAGGACTATGTATAAAGAGCTAAAATGGAAAAACGAATTATGCTTACGATAAACCTATGTTATGGAGCTTTTACCACAAAATTTATAGCTTCTATTTCTTTGTACCGAAATTCAAATGCTCTTTTTGCATTTTCGATGGTATACTTCAAAGGCAATTTGTCATAATCCATTTTGCTGGAAAAGTAAATCCAAATTAGCTGATTATTGTTAGGTGCTTTAATACACGTACTAAGAGTAAATACTATTCGCTACATAGCAAGGCCCCATTTCGGTATGAAAAAGTTTGAAGATATCTTCACAACGATAAACTTTTCCAAGGAATATTACGTCCACGAAGATTTCCGAACACGACTGTGGAAAGAACTGATTGACATGTTCAGTATTATGAGTTTATTAACTACTAAAAACCTTATTTAATAAATCATAAAAGTGGTAAAAGCCATAAAAGCTACCCGTTTGTCATAATGTCGTTTGGCATAGGCCTTTGATCTTATTTTGGGCCTACTAAGTACAACCCGCCGTTTGCCCTTATTTTTCTAGTGGATTTTTTTTACAAAATGTAATGTTTTCACTGAACATGCCTTTTATATTGATTTACCTTTCTGTACATACCGTAAGATTTGGCAAAAAGCAAATATTATAAATTTAATTTATAATATTTGATTGCATGTAGTCTGTTATTGGCTTTCCCGCTCAGAGGTGTAAACAAAATGTCATATAACGTAGTCTGGCAGTGTGAAGGTTTTGTCTACGACATTCTTATAGACGTGCATGTGTGACGTCACATCTGCTGTTATATTGAAAAGTAAAAGAATAAAAGAGGTAGTAGATTTTACTCATCAAACCAGTTGATATTTATGATGCATAGACTGTTTTGGTACGGCAACGCACGCTACCACCGAATTTTACCAATACTTCAAGAAAGAATAAGAAGCAAAAGCAAATCGAGTGATGGTTAGTTGCCTGCGTCAGCTACGAAAGTCCTGCAGAATACTAGAATTGAAATTTGGATTTTAGAACTAATTTCCCATCTACATATTTAAAAAAAATAGCACAATTATACGCAATCGAATGCACGAAACATAAAACAACTGTTTCACAAAACTCTTGGTGAACAAAATTGATCACCAAGAAAAACACTTCAATTTAACTGCTTTGTTAGCAATCGTGAAAATATAATTGGAAAAGGGTTGCCAGATGTATTGTCTCTAGCAATGAATTTAGGTCTGTTAAAGCAAGTGATTGTGAAGTTTGACTCATAAGCATAGATGAGTGGAGGCATAAAATCAATAAATAAATATCAGAAACTTAATAAATCAATCAAAACGACTATTTTAGGCATTTTACCAGGCCAATTAAAAAAGTCACAGAAGATTGAATTAAACACTAGCAGGAAAGATGGCAGCAGTGCACTGAACCTTTCATTCGCTCTCCCTCCCATGGTGGTAAGCTCTGTAGAAAGTACTAAATCTGTCCCCATATCTATGGGCGGCAGCAAGAGGGGCGAGAGCAAGAGAGTAAACCAATATATTTTCATTCCATTGTAAAACGTCCGTGAATAAAGTGTAATATATCTAGATAACATTAACGATTATTAACGAAACAACCATTGTATTTCCGGTTTGTCTAGTTGAGGTCTTATCAGCCAACCCTATTCCAAATACTATAAAAAGAGAACAATCCATTGTATCGTCCTCTATTCCTTGATCGCCTTCGAGTAGAACGAATTGTAAATAATAATAGGTAAGAATAAAGAGTAAACCATACCGCGTGTGTTTCACTACATATCCCCAAGTGCCCCGAATATATCAATTGTGGCGACGAGGATGTAGGATTGGAAGTGTAGTTAATTGAAGAGACCACGTGTTGAGTTAAACTGGAAGTAACGGAGTTGAGAACAGTGCTACCGTTTGTTAGGGCAAGTGAGTCGTGAATAATATCAGCAGCGTACAATAGCGTATTGAGATTAGAAGACCACGTGTCGTGTAAAAGTAACGGAACCGTTTAACTAATACGACTGAACCGTAATTAGTGAGGTTAAAAATGACCGGAGAAGGTAAAGGTGACGTGGCGTCTGGTACAAACAGAGTATCGATGAATTTCGGATCGTTTGAAAATTACGTCGCGGGTGACGACTTTGAGGTGTATGAGGAAAGGATGATTCAAAACTTTCTTCTACATGATGTCCCGGAAAATAGAAAAGTGGCGTTTCTTTTGACGCATTTAGGAATGGACACTTATGCCATCCTAAAGAAACTCTTGCAACCAGTGAATCCTAGTACAAAGTCGTATGTCGATTTAGTGAAGGCACTGAAAAAACACTTCAGGCCAGATGTGAATAAGATTTCCGTGCGCTACCGTTTTAATCAGGCAGATCAAAAAGCGGGTCAATCAATTACAGAATATGTAGTGGAGCTTAAAGCTCTCGCGGAAAAGTGGTTCAATACGTTTTTGCAAGAAGCGCTACGTGATAGGTTCGTGTTCGGTGTGTACGATAGCAGGCTTCGTACTCACCTGCTAAAGCAGAAAGATTTATCATTCGACAAAGCGGTCGATGAAGCGTTGAACTGGGAATTAGCGGAAAAGGATAATAATGTGCGCGAAAACGTGTTGAGTGCGCACGTGGTGCAATACGGCAAACCAAACCGAAGCAGAAGCAAAAGTCGGTCAAAATTTGCTAGTAGTAATGGCGGTCAGAAAAATCAAAATGGCCGAAGAAAAGTCTGTGAGAAATGTGGGCGCGATCATGAACAGGGAAAGTGTCCAGCGAGAAGTTGGAAGTGCTTCGCGTGTGGTAAGCAGGGCCATACGGCAAACGTGTGTTACAGAAAAAGTTCGAAGCAGTACCGTAGTTATAGTCAAGAATCCAGGAGGAACCAAACCGTAGGTACGGTTGATGCTGAACCTAGTGCAAGAAATCGCTAACCTCCGGATGCAGCTCAACTCGGTGGAAAATGAAACTCCATTGAGAAAAAGCAAAGTGAATTTGAAATAGATAGTGGAGCCTGTGCAACGGTGATAAACGATTGCTTGTATAAAAAGTGTTTTGCGAACATTCCGTTGTTCAAGATTAACGATGAATTTTCAACCGTAACGGGACAGGGAATCAAGGTAATCGGGGGATTTAGTGCAAACGTATCTAAAAACCAACGTGGTCCGGGCATAAAGCTAGCGCTAGTAGTGATCGAAAGTAACAAGGCTTTCAGACCGCTGCTTGGACGCACATGGATGGATATCATCTGGCCCGGATGGAGGAGTAAATTCAAGGAAAGCATCGTGAGTATGAACCATGTTGAATGTTCCCTTATTGATTCCATGCGATGGAAATATCCAAATGTTATTTGTAACGACAATACTCCAATTCGAGATTTCGAAGCGGAGGTTATCATGGAAGATAACGTGAGTCCTATCTTCCACGTGGCTTATTCGCCTCCTTTTCAACAACGCCCTGCCATTGAAGCCGAGTTGAACAGACTTTGTGAGGAAAATATTTTAAAGAGAGTCTCACATAGCAAGTGGGCTTCTCCTATAGTAGTTGTACCCAAATCCAATGGGAGTTTGAGGTTATGCATTGATTGCAAAGTGACAATTAATCCTTATTTACGATCTGAATATTACCCGTTACCGAGAATTGACGACATTTTCGCTCAATTGGTGAATTGTAAATTCTTTTGCGTGATTGACCTTCGTGGGGCATATCTTCAGCTGAATGTTTCGAAGAATTCTCAGCAAAATCTCACGATTAATACACACATTGGACTTTTTCAATATGTTCGATTGCCTTTCGGTGTGGCAACTGCACCATCGATCTTCCAAAGCATAATGGATCAGATTTTGGGGAAAGTAGAGGGTTGCGTATGCTATCTAGACGATGTGCTAATTGGAGCAAGAACATTAGAGGAGTGTAGACGTATTTTAGATCACGTTCTAGAACTCTTGAGTCGGTATAACGTGAAGATAAACGTTGAAAAAAGTAAGTTTTTCTTGGAATCGGTGGATTATTTGGGTCACACCATTCGCAAAGAACCAAACCAATCCACAAATCGCCCCATCTCCGAAAAATATTAGTGAATTGCAATGATACCTTGGGTTGTTAAATTACTATTCGAAATTTATACCTTACATCTCAGCAGAACTAAAAGTTATGTACAGATTGCTTCGGAAAAATGTAAATTTTGTCTGGGATAGAGATTGTGAAGAGTTCTTTTCAAGAAGCAAACAGCTTATTTTGAAGAATAATCTGTTACAGCTCTATGATCCTCAAAAACCGATAGTGGTCGCGGCAGATGCTAGCCCTTATGGTGTGGGTGCTGTTCTATTTCACATTGTAGACGGAGAAAAAAAAAACCCGTTCTTTTTGCCTCATGTACCTTATCTCCTGCCGAAAAAAATTACTCACAGCTCCATCGGGAAGCTTTAGCCATTATTTTTTCGGTGAAGCGTTTCCACAAATACATTGGCGGGCCTCGCTTCAAGCTGGTTTCAGACTGTGAGGCGTTGAAGGAAACTTACCACCCTCGGAAAGGAACGTCGGTGATTTCAGCGTCTAGGTTGCAAAGGTGGGCAGTAATATTGTCAATGTACGACTATGAGTTTCAGTAAAGACCAAGTCGATATTTAGCGAATGCTGATGCCTTGTCCAGATTACCAGTGTCTGGTAATAAAGGTGTTGAGGAACTATCCATAAATAGACTTGAGCAATATCCAGAATTACAATTACAAACGTGTGATGTAGCAGATTTCACGGCAAGAGATGAAACTCTTGCACAAGTATTTGATTTCATTTTGCTGGGATGGCCTAACCAAGTTCCGGTGCATTTGAAATATTATTATAATTTGCGAAAGTCGTTAAGTTGTCAAGATAATTGTTTATTTTATGGTGACCGATTGGTTCTTTCGAAGATTTTGCAAAGGGTTGTACTAAAGATGCTGCACACTAATCATGATGGCATTGTAAGAGGTAAAATGCTAGCAAGAGGTTTATTTTGATGGAAAGGAATGCAAAATGACGTTGAGGATTATTTTAAGCAATGTGAAGTGTGTGATCTTAGACGTAGTGTTCCCAAGGAAACAATTGTTTCCACATGGCCAAGTTGTACGAGTCCCATGGAAAGAATTCATATTGACTTTTTTTTATTTGGAAGGTAAAACGGTGCTATTGATTATTGATTCATTCACTAAGTTTATTGAAGCCACAGTGAGTGGAACTAATACGAAACAAGTGAATGACAAGTTGGAGGATTTTTTTTCAAATTTGTTGGGTTGCCAGGACAAATTGTGTCCGATAATGGACCACCGTTCAATTCCTGGGAATTCATACGATATTGAGAATCGTATAATGAAAAGGCTACAAAATCACCAGT